CGATGACAGAATGGTATAAAGAAATCAAAGTCATTGGATTTGGTAGTTCTCCATTGACTTCTCTCTTTACCCCTTTGCATATGTTCCTAAATGGGTGTGCACCTCCAGATGGGCGGGGGCCGGCCTCCCACTCTCTTATGCAGCATTTATTAGCTTAGCTGGGTTGGGTGGATCGTGCAATAAGCCTCTCTCGACCCTCCGTTTCTAATACATCTTTATGAAAGCCTCTCGCCTTTCGAGATCCGGTCCATCATCAACTCAGTTAGATCTTCTTGTTTGCCTGCTTTGATTAGGCTTCCTTTAATTAACTAACGGATTTGATCGTCATTTCGTGCCTGCAGCCCTGCTGGATTCGACCTTTTATCAGCTGGTTGAGTAGCGTAATAAGGGGCACAACTAGAAGAGTTGGCCTATATTTTCTTTCTCTTTTTTTTCTCAATTCGATTGCAGTCTCCGAAGTTCATCTTGATCGATGGTCCCCATTAGCATTAGTGCTATAATTAGCAGCCGCTTTTTTTGGAAGGCGAGGTACTCATGTGTGATCGCGGATTCCACGGTAGCAGTAGTTCTAGCTCTACATTAGGAGCACGGGAGCTCACTCCCTCAATGAGTCTATCCTGCTTCAGGCCATCTTGTTCAGTCTCCTGGAACTTAACTCTTAGATGCAGCCGCCTCCATCCATCGGCAATCTGCTCCCGTACGGGCGTTGACATGCAACGCGAAGGTCTCCTTATTTACGACGAAATTTAGATCAAGTTGCACGAAAGGAAGGGTTAAAACCTATATTATATAGAAGTCGTTTTTGATGAGGAGAAGGGAAAACCCCTCCCTAACGCTGGGCAAGATCAATAAATAAGAAGCTTCGGCTTAGGGCGACCAAACCAAGCTCGATTCGCTCCAAATTCCCACAGTACCTTCCTTTGGAAAAGTGACCCGGATCTTCAGGTCGCTCCAGGCTCTACCGGAACCGAGCGTACCTTGGGGCACGCGCTACAAAAGGCTTAGGAAGCGGACCTGTCTGATGAGGGGACTTCGTAAACTATCTAACTTTGAAGCTATTACACAAAAAAAAAGGGTGAAACCACAGAAGCAGGTAACCCTGACTTCAAGACAGATGGTGAAGAGCACCGGTCAAGCTCACACACAAGAGGGAAGGAACGAAAGATTGATTGATCTGCTGCTCGATCGGAGATATAAGGGAAGCGCTGGTAACCGAACTCTTTCGCGAAAGGGATTCCGCCGCCGAGTCTCTGTCTCTTATGAGAGCAGTGGCTAATAGAACTGATGCGCCTCAGAAAGCAGCGTCCTTCTCAATCAATGCCCGGGCATCCCATACATAACCACCGAATAATCATTCCCCGTACTGAGTTCTCTCAGGTGCCAACTCTTTTTTTTTTCCGTAATAATCTAAAAAAAAAGTTTATGACCATCAATCGGTCGGAAGGTTAAGAGTGATAGATATTATTTATGTTCAAAGTAAGGCGCTTCCTTGTATCCCGCTTGGCAGTACATAAGGGGAAAGACGAGAATAGACCTCAAGGTCGGAACCGGCTCTTTTGGTTTTCTTTCTTTGGCTATGGTTGCCTTGACCAGAGGGTTCCAACCCGTTTAGAATGAACCGTAGCCAAAGATCCATTTACCCAGACGGTGTGCGAAATGAGGAAATTTTCCGTAGTAGGCCGAGTTTGACTCTATCGCCCGACACACAGCCCTCTATGTAGCTCTACCACAAGACCTTTCGGTGCCATCACAAGAACGAAGGAGACCCGCAAAGAGCGTTTGCTCTAGGAGTGGAGCGATCCCTGAAATCATAGGTTCGATGAACAACTAAACCGAATGATCGAGAGAGAATAACATAAGGGCACCTCTATAGACGCGAAAACCGAGTTACAGACCCCGATGGACGCGTGATGAATGTGAGAAGCATCGGCCCCGGAGAAGGCTGGATCGTAGGAAGCGAGTTATACGTCTATGAATCCTTCCTGTGAGCTCAACGAGTACCCACGATTCCCAGTAGGAGTCGGCATATCGTGCGTAATGGATCCTGATGTTGTATGGGTCATCGGGGCGAAGGGTTCCAAACCTCGGAATTGCGAACATCCGGTGGTATGAATGAAACATAGTTTGAATAGGGGCAAGTCTAGAGCTGTGGTATGGAAGATTCTAAAAAACCCTCATCACTTTGTCAGAGTTATTGTTTTACCCTTTCTATCTGCATGACTGCTTTCTTATGATGAGTAGTGTCCATCACTCGCCTCTCTGTCCCTGTATGAAGGAGCATCCACTGCGCTTACTAGTGGGTATGATTAAAGTCAAGAGCGGGGCTCCCAGAAAAAGGACCTTATCTGTATCCGTCTCTCTTACTCGAACTAGCCACCCCTTGGGATCCGTCTCCCCTTTTCCCATTTCTTTATGGCTTCTCCTTCCCTTCTTCCCTCTTAGCGCTACGAAGTGGTAAGAGTGACCTTTGCATTGATTCTCGGTATCCCATCTCATAAGTAGATTCCCTGGCTGGGGTAAGAAAGTAGGGCTATTCAAAGCAGAGAGAAAGTTCTTCGGATTTGAAGCTTTCTCTTCTTAGCCAGGTTTCTTTTTCTTCTTGGCTTCTCTCTTCTTCCGCTTATTCATCTTCTTTGACGGATACAGATATAGAGGCAGAAAAGCCAGTAAGAGCTGCAAGCTAATTCCCAATGTAACTCCTTCAATTCAAAGAGTTGCAGTCAACTAATGGTGAACTAGGCTGATTAGCCCCAGTAAATACATGCACTTGAGCCTATAGTAATGTAAAGGCGCGTTAGCCCAGCCCAGCCCATAAAAGGGCTTTCGTCACGAACTAGCAATTTCCCAAGAAAGAGAAAAGGGGGCTGATTCTTAGCCTGCTTCCTTCGCTAACAGAAGTGCCAGGGAAAGGGAATAGGAAGTCTCCCTTAGCTAGGGATCTACCATATCTAGTTCTAATGTAATGTAAGCTGGTGAAATGCTACCTTCAATACAACTGACCAGGGCAATTCCGACTCATCGGATGCTTAGTGGGATGCCACTCTCAAAGATTCTTCACCAGTGACAAATCGGATTCGTTCAAAGAGAATCCTTCAACGACAACAGCTACCACTCACTGAACACTTTTTTTATCCGGAAGTTTGTCCATCCATGGCAAAGGATCGAACTTGAACTCTTTCCGGCTGAGAAGAGCCTTTTTCAATTCATTTTTGCAGGTGAGCGAGATGCCGAGTCTACCTTTGCCAAGTCCCTCTTTCTAGGAGGATTTAATCCATCAATAGCAGTAAGTTGCTTTTGAGTTCGATTTTCATTACTCCGAATCTTCTTAGTTCGACTCTGCCTCAGGTCGAGTTGCTTTCTCTTGTTTTGACTTGAACGCACGTGACTCACTCGCCCGAAAGAGCGCTTTCACATACCTCAGATTATCTTATTCATAGGCTACCAGGGTCAAAACGAATGTATAGCAAGGCTGCACCCTTCATAAGGTGGCTGATCTCCTGACTCCCTATCAAACATGGAATGTCGGTCTTTGAAAGTCTTTCTTGGACCCCCACCCCAAGAGGTGCATGCTATAGGTCAGAGATACCAGTGAGCTATAGCCATTGCCCTGATGAATGGATTGGGGGGTTGACTTAAAATGGAAATTACACGGGGGTATGCTCTCCCAATCGATCGAATTCAATTTCATCCCGGAAGTCCGCCTATTTTCTAATCGCTTTAGTAAGCGGATGCCAGCTCTCTTCCATGTGAGCGATAGAATAGAATACTTTCTATACGAGCAATTCAGCCAGGAAAAAGCTACCTTATAGCTCTAGTCCAGTTCCCAGCAATCTTATAGAGTGCCAGTCTTAAGCTAAGCCCATGCAGTCGTAAGCCCCTGTAGGCATTTTTGCTTACCCGGGTACGAGCGATCCTGGGAAGCATACTTTATTTCCAACTATAGATAGCTATTAGCAAGTAGCATATTTCCACTAAGAACACTATAGGACACTATCCCTATCATAAGATAAGAAAAGAGGTGGGAGGGACTTCCTCTACACTAAAGATCATTTCTATCTCACGAATTGGATTCGAACCAATATCAAGCGACTTTCCTTTTAGTCGATCGTGAGTGGGTCTGTCGTCCTCCTCATTATAGTCCTCCTAGAATCAATAGCATTTCGTCGGAATACATCCTGTCTTTTCACCTTAGTAGTTCTATGCATAGTTAGTACTATAGCCCCAATCATGGCTACTAATAAAATAAGACTAGGAACCAAAAACCAGACGAAATAATAGGTATAAAGTAAATTGCCCAATGTTTCCAAATTAGTCCAACTTCGTACCTTTTCGGCATAAACCGTATATCTCAGAGAGGTCGTATTTCTTTGGGTTGGTAGTAATGGAATGCTTTCATTATCTAAAATGAAGAACATTTCCCACCAAAAGATCAGTCCAATAATACCACTCACTGGTAAATAGCGCAATACTTCTTCGTGAATCTCCGCTATTTGAATATTGAACATCATAACAACGAATAGGAATGAAACGGCAATAGCTCCTATATGAACTACTGAGAAGATCATTGCGAAAAAGTCGAGACCTAAGAAAAGAAGTAAACCGGAAGTATTGCGAAAGACTGGGATGGGAAACAAAACGGAATGTACTGGATTTTTAGCACGTACAACCATCAAACCAGAGACCAAAGCAGGGCTCGACAAAACAGAAAGTATCATAGTACGTCGTCCTTCCCTGAAATGGAACTTTCATGCTAGTTCTTGCTCCAGCATGAAAGTCGATCTATTACGACCAGCGCGGTTGTTCGTATTTCATTTTCTTCTTCCAAGACAAACTCTTCTTAGGCACTGAGTTACTTACGTTACGGTCTTCTGCAGGCAGGCCGCCTTCCTATCGGGCCCACCGGTTTAAAGAGGCCTCTATCCGGACTCCCCCTATACCTCTGTCTGGCCTCGGGAACTTCTCTAAGCTCGAGAGCTCCTGTCTCCTCACTTAAATCACCTCTACCCGCCAAATTTTGAGAAAATGACGTTTAGGAGATAGTGCGTTCCCCCGTCCTCGAGCTCCTGCCTCACTTGATCTAACCAATTCAATTCAAGATGGTCGCGATCCCGTACGGGCAAGGTTGGGTGCTCTAGGTCTAGCTTGTCGCGTCCTGCGGTTAAGAAGTCCTTGAAGACTTCTTCAGGATTGTATGGGGATTGTTTGGCCATGTCCGCATTGTCAGAAAGGACCTCCTGAAAAATAGAGAAAGATTTTTGTTTCTGCTCCCGGATGAGCAGGTCTCTGTTCTCAAAGTCGAGTAATCTGTTATACTCGGCCTGAGAGGTAGCCTTACGTAGCTCTCCTAGGAGGTCTTGAACATATGTCCCTCTGGGCTTACCCAGAAGAAAGGTTTGGTTTGGAACCCTCTCCAGCTGTAGAATCCTATTCCGCATTGAGGACTCCAAGCTAGCATTCCGGACCACAGATCCTTGGCCCGAAGGTCCCGCTTCATCGCTTGCCACCCTCGGGATCGAAGAATTAACCGATGCGCCCCCCATTTCCGTTTCGGAAAAGGGCTCTGTTAAGACGTCGATGTCAAAATCTGTCCAACCAGAGCCCCCACTGCCACTTTCCATGTTACTGAAACTCCCGGATCCGCTAGAATAGGAAATTACCCTCCCCTCCGAAGAAGGGCTGACGGCCAAACCTGGCATGTTCAAAAAATATTTTTGAAAAGCCCCCCACGAAATAAGGAAGGAAAGGCCAACTCTCAAGCTTGGGAGGATTATTCCCGATCCTGGGACTAGCCCCTCCAACAATAAGCGGAAACATATTTGAGCCACGAGAGTGAACAGTAATACCGAAATCAGATTTCTTTTTCGCAGTTCCATAATTCCATTTACAACTAGATAGAAGGGAGAATGCCGCGAGAAAAAAACCTACTGACAGCTTCTTAAAATACATAGTTGATTAAATCGATGAAATTCAGCAGCTCCTCGCATCCCCAACTACGAGTACCACATACCATCACATCGTAGTAGGCATCCGTCAGAAAGCCGTGCTGAAGAGCTTCATCCCCAAGAACCATCCGAACAAGGTCAGGCATGGTCCATTGCGGGGGTAATTGCCTGCCGGCCTCATGGACACAGCGGCTGTACTCATCACAGATGCGCTCAAATACCTCTTCTAAGTCAGGTGGAGCGCTTTGCGCGTCCGACCTAGTTGAAGAAAGAGGTGAAGTAGACGAAGAAGGGAAGGAATCTGTATTCATGATAAAGTCCATATCGCTAGGACTTGGATTATCATATACTACGAGCCCTGTTGTGTTTCGCATTTTCTTTTGTTCATTCTTTAACTGCTCTGCTCCCCCCAAAAAACGGGAAAAGACTCTTCGGAAATCGCCGGCGGTTGGTCCGGAACGACATGGGCATTTTTGGCGTCAGATTCTTCTTCTTCTCTTACGATATTTCGAGTTAGAAGAAAGGCATGGGAGAAAGAATTCAAAGCATGATTTTCTATTCGATATCTGACTCGGGGGCGAACACCCCTTTTCTTTATGCCCGTCGCCTTTGTTGAACGGGATAGATTTAATTAACACGGATAGACCAGAAAAGGTCTTCGCAAGCATACCGCTTTCTGTTCAAGAATCGGTAGCGGTTTTAAGGAAGACTACCGAGCTCCACGATAGATAAGCGCCTATCATCTCTATGCGAATTCTGACCTTAACTTTTCGTCTTTGATTAGTATTAGCGAAAGCTCGCTCGACTTAATAATAGCTGTCTTACTCGACTTGCTTACTAGCTGCCTTTCTGACTAATATCATTATTTGACTTGTGAATTTAGAGTTCTAAACTGAGTACACTAGGAGAACAGTAGTTTCCTTTTGTTTCCTTTTTATGAACACGGAATGATCAGCATTCCTTCTCTGGAAACCCATCTATCTTCGTCATAACCAAACTTCATATCTCGAACCAAGCCCGAGGATACTGACTTGTCTGATGTATCCTTCCCTCCCTTCCTTATTCATAAGCCCAGAGAGAAAAGAAAGATAAGTATAGGCCTAGTCTAGAATGTAGAATGACTCTGCAACAGAAAGAGAATGAATAGGAAGAGAAGACTAGATAGGATAGTGAGAGTAAGAAGAAATTGCCAGTTCCCTAATAGGGATACACTGGATTGGATACAACACTCGAGGTAGCAACTTCCCAAGTCATTCCTCTTTCAAAAAGTCTTCCATAATAAATAAAGGGAGAAGGTTGTTCGACTGAAGCCCGACCTCTATGATTTGAAATGAGTGCAGAAATTTCCCTTTAAGAGAATGATCTTTACAGAAAAAGAGCCCAGAGGTTTAGTCAGTGTCCTCTTTTATTTTTTCTTCTCGATGAAAGGCTTCCCCAAAAGCACTGGTTTTTCAACCTCCATGGTCTTTCCCAATCTTTTTCTATTACTTACACCTGGAGCCAGCTTAAATTGCTAAAGCAACTCCCGAACCTAATTCCTAAGGTCACATACCTGTCGAATAAAAAGAAAGATCATTTTGATAGTTGGAATCTCCACTAGGGCAGGCATTAATATGAAAAACTCTCCAGCTGGGACATCATCCACGGCTAGATCCTCCTTCGCGTTTAGGAGATCTCGACTCTTAACATAAATCTATGAGCTACAGCTGCGTTAGAGAGAGAGATGTGGAACTCTTTTCTCCTAGTCCGATTAAAGATAGATAAGACATCCGCCAGTGTAATCTTTTTCCTGAACCCCTCCTCCTTGGAAATCTAGCAGCCAGAATTAGCTTAGGAATGCGATTCGTAGCATCTATAATGTAATGTAGTGTAGATTGAGCTCGCATCCGAACAACATCTTGTTGGACAGGCCAATATGGGAAGGGCTTTTTAGATACCTCAGGGTTGTTAACGAAACGAATAAGTAAGGTTCATGCTTGCTATTGATGGTAATATAGCCTACTTACTGGGTAACTACTCCTACGACTATAACGTTTTCCTTCCCAAAGTAACTAAACGAAGTTTGATATAGGAAGCCATTAATGTAGCGAAGCTTTTTGTGTCATATGATCGGTGTTGATCTTCATTCTATACATTCTCTTAGCAACAGCTCAAGTCGGTCGTCTTCTATCCACACATGGCGGATGAAATCAATAGAAATTGGTCTTCTTTCTGTGGAGCCGTTGGCTAGGCTACCTGTGAGGTTGAGGTGAGTGTGGGCAGGGGACGGACATTGATTGAAGGTTGAGTCTTCTACCGGGGAGGAATTGATAGGGCTTACGAAGCGGTACCGACATGGGGAAGACAGATCGATCGGAAGCGTATCATCCCTCCTGGAGATTGAAATAATAGCTGTTATTGAAATGCCACTTTCAGTGGAATAAAAAGATGAAATGAAAAAGGTCATTTCCATCTGGTCCTTCAAAGATCGATCTCTTACTGATGATAATAGCCTATATAAGATAAGGTTTTTCCTAACCCTCCCTTCGCGAAAAGAAGGAGGTGAAATTATTTTTCCTTGAAGCTTGCGAAGGACTTAATGAGACATAGAGCTTCGATCAAGAATAAAATAATTTTAGACTATACCCTCCCCGCACGGAAGAACCAAGCAAGGGATTCACTCCAACAGAAGAAAGCCCAGATATCGAATCTGAATTGAGTACTCGTACTTCGCTACCTTTCTCCGAGCGACTAAGAAGATTAACTAATTGCGTCCGCTAGAGATGCTTTACCTAACAATGACTTTCAAGTGGGGAGTGAATGAAAGTCGATATAGAAATCCTAGGCTCAAAAGCCACATTTTTCGATACCGAAGTCTGCCACAAAGAAGCTCATTTCCAACGCTGGAATGTTGAGTTCCTTCATCAAAGGAAGAGCTACAACTGCTACAACAGCTATATTAAGCAGGAACGCCCTAGGCGACAATGATTGATCCTTCTTCCTTCTCTTATTAGTCGTTGAGTTCGGCGGTTGCTTCGCATACCTCGTCATTCAAATTCTTTCACCGCAAGCAAAGATATAGCAGCTCAGACCCTCTCTTTCTAACAATAAGCCCCCGAAGGAAGAGAACAAACTCAGCTAACTCAGGAAAGAAGGGGATACATATGATACCAGAACGAAAGAAAGATGGGGCTCCTCAAACGCGCTTGCTTATAAGAGAAGAGATTTGCCTTATGATGGAAGGTACGGTACGTAGATAGACCGATGTAGATTCATTGGCTTGACCGTAGCGACACGGATTCCCACTTATGCCACCCTAACATCCAGAGGAAGAAAAACCCAGGGTATGAGAACGACTTTCTCCTATAACTAAAACAAAGGACATTTAGTAGCGAAAAGCATTGACACTTCTGCCTTCTAGGCTAGAACCCTCAAAGCTGGAAGAAAGGACAACCTAGCTCAACTGATTGATTGGTACCGTAGCCCCGCGTGTGCGGTAATGGGCAAGGCAGCCTAAAGAAGAAGATGCTGATAGCGAGTGATTCACTCCTAAAAGTCCATCATACTCTCTTTTCGTGGAAGATGGGGTAGCAGGTCTTTTCTTGTTCTTAGGGGGCGGAGGGTTTTCCTAAGAAGATGGAAGTGCTGGCAATCATAAGGTGTTGCCTCTTCCCCGTTCAGGGGTGGGGAAGACCTTGGTCTAAGAATGAAAGTCAGAGCGAGTTTTTAGTCCTTGTTGAGTCCAATGTAGAGGAATGGCAGCAAGAACACTGGGGCTAGCGTGTCAAAACAACTTCTTCTTGATTGACTTTCTTCTGCGGAAGTAGTAACTAGCAAGGAAGTAAGACCCAATAAAAAGAAGAAGGACAGAGCCAACATTTCACCACTATGAGAGTTGAGGGGTAGAAAGAGACAGCGCATAAAATATCCTCGTGAAGAGGGAACGTAACGATAGGACTTCTTCTTCATAACACAGGAAACGGACTCTTCTTGGAACTTGTACTTCCTTTGTTTAGTTAGTAAGAATAGGCCGGTTCTCCACCTGCAACCCTCGCTCGAATAAAAGGAAAAGAAAGAGCATTTTCCTCGGGAACTCAGAAGGTTTTTCCCTCAACGACTAAAGGATAAAGCTAGGGGACTACAACCTGGATACCCAAGGGGAGGAAGCAGCATACTACTCCCTTATCTTACTCAGACAGAAAGAGCACGCTAAGCACTAGAAGAAAAGGAAGAGATAAGCTACTCCTACTAGAAAGGGACCTAGATCAATAGAAGGAAGGCAGAACGACAAGCAAGAAGAAAGAACCAGAAGACTAGACCCCAACTCAACCATGCCTCTCTTCCACTTAGAAAAAAGACAACGGAAAGACGAAAACGGAAACTTAAGGGGAAAAGACTACCCGGGAGACATGCACCAGAGTGAATGGGGTATCACGCCGCGAGAGCACGTGAGAAAACGAAAGATTGATCGAGAAAATAAGTAGGGGCGACCAAGACAGAGGTCTGTGGGAGGGATACCCTTTCCTATGCAAGAGGGTTTGACGGAATTGAATCTGCAACTGTCTCGCAAACTCTTCCTTCTTATTCTTAGGGGTAGACCCTATGGCAACTCCCAATGTCAGGTCCAACTTCGACTATAGAGGATTACCCATGGACTGAAACTTTCTTTCTAGCTTACTTGATTAGTTGCTTAGCTGGCTTGCTTCTCCTAGCACCAGGCTAACTACTAAAAGGCATGGGCAAAGGGGAATGACTGACTATAGCGCCAGCACTTTCCTTAGAATATCCTTCCACTAGTTTACCCTTACTTCTATCCCAATCTCAGGGGACTTCCTTCAATTCCAATATCCTCACTCTCATTCCCAAGCTGGAAACAAGGGCAGGAGTAGACTCATTGGAGGATAGGGTTTGGCTTACGGATATAAGGTAGGGTAGAATGCTGACTCTTACAA